TTTTGTTTTTTCAAATCACGAACAGTTTGTTCTCCAATACCGTATTGCATTGCTAATTGTTTAACTACAGCTCCTTTTTCCAGCTGATTGATAATTTCAAGTTTCTGTTGAATACTTAACACAACACGCTTCCTTTTAAACCCCGACATTTTGCTAACGCACTTGAAGATCTATATTAAGAAACTGATACTTACTTTCACAATGCACTCTCACACTGAGATGGTACCGTTAAATAACCTGGGGCGGTGTATTTGTCCTTGAAACTTTCCAAAAATTCTTGCATTCTTTCACCCCCACCCTAGAACATTGTGTTCGCATAACGGGACGAAATAATGCAGAGCTCGGTTCACACTAGTGCGAAAATAGTGTTAAACTCACCATGTGAAACAAAAGTGAATGAATATTAAACAACATATAAACTTAAAAAAAAAGCCCCGGTTAAGCCGCAAACCGGTTAATCCGCCCCCGGATAATCGAGAGTTGACTGTATTTGGGAATGACAGTAATGGATCAAAATTTGATTCAGAAGGAAATTAAGAGGAGACTGAATCTGAGTAATGCTAGCTACAATTCAGTCCAGAACCTTCTCTCTTCTTGTCTGTTGTGTATAAATGTAAAAATTAGAATATACAGAACTATAATGCTGCCTTTTGTTTTGTACAGGTGTGAAACTTGGTCTAATTGGAGAAAACTGCATAACAGGGAGGTTCATAACTTGTAATCTTCACCAAGTATAACTGGAATGCAAGTCAAGAAGATGCAATGGGCAGGACATGCAGCATGCATGGGGAAGAAAAGGAAGGCATGTAGGATTTTGGTGGGAATGCCAGAAGGAAAGAGACCACTAGTAGGAAGATCTAGAAGTAGGTGGGAGGATAATATTAAGATTAATTTTTGAGAGACAGGATGAGGTGGTATGGACTGAACTGATCTGAATCAGGATAGGGAACAGCATAGGGCTCTTGTGGACAAAGAAGTGAACCTTCAGGTTCCACAAAAATTTGGGAAATTCTTCACTAGCTGCACAACTGGCGGTTCATCAAGAACTCAGTTCCATGGAATCAGTATCTGTATCTGGACAAAGGACATCCAATTTGTGTTACATTCTGTTGAGCGACTAAGTGAGACAATGTCACGATGGGAGACAAGTTAGCTGAATACTCTTCTCGTGATTTTGTATCTTTTGACAAGTACAGCTGTCACAGTTTCTCTTCACAGAGGTATAGCTAAACCCTCTGGTACTAGAAGATGATCGCTTCCATGAATTTTAGAATAAGTAAACAATATTGCAATCAGTTCTACCAACATTTCACCCATTTGCTAGAACAGACTGCAGATTGTGTGTATTTAATAAATATTTCTTAGGGGCCCAACTGAGTATATGTCTTCCCCCCCTCACCTGAAGACGAAAACAGAGCCAGTTTCTGAAACATGGTGTTTTCTATTTTCTAGAATACCAAATGATGGAAAAAGTCCAAAAACCCAGTAATTCTGTATGTTATACACCATCATCAGAACCCTTTAGATAAAATCACGCATATCATATTTGAATGCATAATTAACATGCGTTTGTAAGCAAATAGGGCAATTGTGTCTTACATTTGCTTCGTGTCTCTATGGTGTAATGTTCATCAAGTTCAACGTCCTCTGGATCCAGCTCCTCATCCGTCTGAAGAATAAAACATTTACAACAATCTACAATATAACTGTATCATGCAGCATGAACTAAACACATTAATATACCAGCCTTCCAGTCACAAAGGCTGCACAGAATATCTTACTCACATTTCACTTATTTCAATTCATATCATTCAAGGGTAACAAAATCTGTTATGACTTCACAGCATTAAGCAAAAGACAGTAGGTGGAAACACTCAATATATCCTGGAAAATTTTTGACAGACAGAAATAGCAGGAGTGGAGTAAGGTATAGATTGATTTTTGTTTATTTAGTGATTTTTCAGTTGCATGTATCATATAGGCACAAATGGCAAGAAAACTGAAAATTATATATTTTAAATAATATAAAAGGAGAAAGAAGAGGATATGGCCTAATTTAAGGTACTAGCTCAATATCTGCCCAGACAGACTTAAGAAAACCCCTAAAATCTAAGTCATTCAACCACTCTAGGCTAAGATTCAAACTCACTCAGGCACAATGTTTCATGGGGGAAACATGGGTTAACACATAGCAAAATTTGGGAATGGAACTAGGTACTGAAATGCCTTGCCTGAAGGGAGGCTATAATAGGAGAAAACGTATCTGAGCTACATATCTGAAGCACAAATGAAAGCCGACACAGTACATTTCTCTGAAAGCAGATTTTAACATTATTCTCCCACCCATATTTGACTGAACAGACCTCATTACATGATGTTTCAAACAACAATTTTAAGTGAATTTCCTTTCACTTTTGACACATGCTACAGCAAAACCTTACTTCAGAGTGCAAGAGATCATTCTAAGGGGGTCCAAATTTTCAGACTGTCCCATACCAAAACAAATCCTGATGATGTGCCTTTTTGTTAACAGAGTAAAATACCTACATTTCTATGTGAATATACACATGATTACATATATAGCACAACTGTTGTTAATTCTGCAATATTTTACAAATTATACTTTGTAACTTTTTAAAAACACTGCAGTTTGCTCACAACCACTGCTACTCATGCATATATATAGTTTACATTGACTTTATCTTAACTAGTTTCCACATTAACACCCGATGGCATGCCACTTAGAAGTATATTTAAGAGATTATCTCATCTGTCCAAAAAACTAAAGTGAAGTTGAAAACTACTAGGTATCACTCCTCTACGATGCAAAGTGAATAGACTGTACATCATCCCATGCAACGCCACACAAAAAAATGAGTTCAACATGTTTTACAATGAAAGAGTGACTTTTTAGTTAACTGGACTATAAAACTGCACAGACAATCAATAAGATAATGATGTACATTATACAATGAACATCAGGCTATTGTGCGGGCCTGGCTGCAGCACCAACATGGAGAGGAGATGGAGGAGGACAATTAAAGGAAAATGAAATAGTTTTAACTAGTATTTCAAGTTTAGAAAACATAACATACATCTTGCCTCTATCAACTTTGTTTAACCTGAAGTAACAAGTTCTTTCTCACCCTGTTCATGAGTACAGCACGTCGGATTTCTCTCACCCCATCATACACAAGCCTGGATGCATCTATGAACTCATTCTCATCCACATCTTTCGGTGGATTGGAAGACAGTGCGTCCACTGCCACCTCTACCCGCTGAGCAAAGTTGGGCATGACTGCAGACACAAATAAAACATTTTTATTTCATTCTTTATTTAAAAGGGCCAATTACATGAATTATCTGACAATGAATTAGCCAATTCCGTCTGTTTTAAACCTTTACTGCAGCATTAGGCTGAATGATAATGGACACAGATGACAAAACTAATACAATTCAAAGTGTAGTTTGTGAAGAAGAGTTTCAGAAACAATGCTCAAATTTACAGGCTGCTTGCTTCACACAGTCTCGCTGGATGCAACATACAAATATCTGTATACAAAACATATTTAAAAGGTCAATTATTAAGGTCATGTGTTAAAATCAGGGAGAAAAGTAATATACTTTTTAATTCTCATTTGGCACCTTATAACAACAGATAATTTATTCATTATGTTGTAATATACTTACATCAAGGTTAAGGAAACACTCACCACCAGTCTCCACTAACTTGCCTCTGGCAAAAAGGTGGGCCTACTTCTGGTGTCAAGCAAACAATTGCTTTTAATAATGCAGTCAGACTAATTCTTTGCTTACTTAACACATTTTTAACTGCATAAGTTATGTAATATCAAATGACAGTGACCTGCAAATGACAAACTGAAAAGCATACAGAAGGCAGTGGCCACTCCCTAAGGAAACCTTATCAGAATACAATCTCCAGGCCAAGTTTTGAATCTGGGACATCCTTAATGCAAAGTGACCATCATGTCTGGACAGAATGGAAGAATCTTGTTATAGCATGGCATGATGAACTGATTGCAGTCAATGAAACCAGAACCACAGAAGTGCCAAACAGTGACAAATTCAAATTCTGTGAGCAGTTTTCTCTCCAAGAAATTTTAAACATTGTGCTCAACCTAGTTCTAATTCCAACTGTCTACAAGGACAAGACTGTCAGAGCTAAGTGTCACTGCCAGACTTAAAGTGTTCAGAAAATGAGGAAGATCATCATAATCTCAGTTAGCTGGCAGTCATATACAATTTTAAATCATCAAAATTACTGACTGACCAAACATGCAACTCCCTACATAACTAATGTGCTCTCAGATATTCATGGTATTTCACCATTATGGAACTTGATAGTCTACTAATGTCACCAATGAAGCCTACCTTTGTATATCAAAAGCCAGGCCAGTTCACCTCAAATCTAATACAGTTCAATCTAGTAGTCCACAAGCACATAACACTTCCCTGATATTCATTTCAATACCATCCACTATGTATATAAGAGTCTCCCTAAAGTATCCAGCTAAAATGTTTATGTCCTATTTGTTTCTCTACCCTTTAAAACTTACTACATTACTTCAGGCTTCCCTGAGGGAACTTCTCTAAATAAGTAACTATTTTTATGAGGGAGTCAGCAAATAGTTAACAATGGAAGTAAAAGAGCTATAATGGACATAATAGGTTTTGTATGTGTATCACTAGGTAGCAGAACAATCCGGCTTCATGATACTCTATGTAGCAGATGTGCATGCGCATGTTCAGAGGCTGAATTCAGTAGTCAAAATGGCAACCACACTTGAGATGTGTGCTACTGAAAAGCATCATTCTGTTGTGTGTTTCTTATGGCAAAAGTACTCACTGAAAAGGTTATTACTAAAGAAATGTCTCCTGTTTATGGTGGGAAGTGTTTATCACATAAAGCAGTTCACAACTGGGTCAAGAAATTCTCTCAAGGACTTTTGAAAGTCACAGATGATGCCCAGCCAGGTGAAGAAGTAGCAGAGACAACAGTCAAAGACTTCTATTCTGCAGGTTTCAACACACTGGTATAGCAATGGGACAAGTGTATCAATGTCGGAGTAGGATATGTCCAGAAATAAATGTCCTTTCAGGTTTGAATATCATATGTTTTACATTTTATATACATTTGTGACCTATTTACTGACTCCCCTCATATAATGCAATGGACAATCGTTTGTCATTTATACTCTGTTAACGAGATACACGGATATGATATGGAAGGTGGTCTACTGTAGCAATTAGATAACTAAAGCCCCATAGTGCGTAAAGCCGTTGGTATGTAACAACTGTGAGATGGATGGATATACCACAGCTGTTTCTGGACAATGGCTCAGTAAGCTCATTCCTGTTGCTAAGCAGTGACTCTGTAAAGAGCGGCTGTTGCTAGGCAACACTCATTACAACAGAAGAGCTGTGTTTTCTATGTGGTCTGTGCCAACATGCTATAACCAACAGGTTTGGAGCTTCGTGAGTTGATAGTTCTGTACAGGAGTCTGTGAAGAAAGGGCTTGAACATGTGAAACTGAAGAATTTCCACTGTTAGAAGCTTTTGCCAGGGAACAACTAGTGAAGACACAGCAGGCTGCAAAGGCTTAGTGGGTGCTGTGGTGATTTGTGAAATGTGGAGATTATCAGTGGTTCTCTAATTGCTTGCAGTTCTTAGTTGTGTGCATAGGTGGTAAATAAAACCATTCACCAATCTAGACCTCATCTATAGTCACTCTTACATGTGACAATAAATTAAATTAATTACTGTGTTGAAGGATTTATTCATTTCTTCAAAGAAATAATTTGTGTAGGATATGAGGTTCTCACAACATGGTTATGATGTTTCTATCTTCTGGGACATTACACCATGCAGTCAGTTGAATGTCAGAAGAAAACATCAATTAACTATCAGTGCACTATGTGGTGTTAAATTCCAGACAACAGACTTCTTCAGAAATAAGTTAGATTGTAAATATATACATCCATTTTTTCAAGATCAACACATTAATACTTAACAACATATTCTTAATAATGCTCTTAATACAAGGCAAGCTGTAATTCATAATAAGAATAAATAAAAGAATTAATGGAAGGGAAAACCTCATTTATTTCAGGCAGTCCTCTACAAGATCTTACTTAACAAGAACGGTGTTTTTAATGATTCTGGATGAATTGAATTAATATTCTTCAACATCCTTCTTTCTTACCTCAACTTCGCATATTCAGGCTATGAAGATGTTACTACAATGACAAAAATTAGACCAGTAAACTGACCTTGGTCCCGTAACACTTTGACTGCTTCAAGAACTCGTTCTGTGTAAATTCCAGGCTCATAGTTGTCCATTTCTGCTCCAACAACATTACACACTCGAGATGATCGGCCACGAATTGCTCCTGCAGTGCGATCTAGTGTATCAGCATCTCCCTCTTGTAGGGCCAGCACACATTTGTTCACATCTTCCAAAATGTGATTCTCTATAAGAAGACATTACATACAAAATCTGACCTCTCAACACACTACAATTCACTACATCCTGAAGCTGTGAGACTATAATACTGTAGTATGTAAAAGGAATACTTAAATCAAGTCAGTTTTCAAATAGTGGACACCCACCAAAAATTCTCTGATATTGCAGTCACAGCATTTTCAGCAATAATGAGTAAGGTATTTGGAGGTTTGTGGTATGCTTTACTATCTAAATCCATCTGGGATGGTTCCTGGATGGTGCAGGAGACAGCAACTTGGATGAATTTCCAGCGCAAACAATTAAGATCTCTTTGGAGACAGAATGACTAAGCTAGCAGCCATCACTGGTTATCTGTGTTTCACCATTTTTAAGTGTGACTTCAACTGACTGAGCCAACTAGAACTTCCTAATTATTCAACTGCAAGAAATTAAGATTCCAAAGTGAGAAACTGAAACCATTACACCTTTCAATGCTCAGAACTGTTTGGGTGCAACCTATAAATTTGGGGAAAACATATGCAAATAAGGTGAACGGAGAAGTTCATGGAGGTAGGCCTAGGCCCACTAGGGCTGTAGTGCCAAGGAAAAAAAATGCAAATAAGATGATCAAGGGATAATGTGAGTACCACCCTAAGTGCAAAATGACCCACAGCAAAGCAATACCAGCACAGAGGACACGCTTCAGCAGATGCAGTATACAGATGAGTCTGAAGATTAATGGTTCTTTGTTCTTCATGTTAGGCTATAAGAAACTGGTTTAATAGGTCTGGTAGGTAGATGGGTGGTATCATATATTTCTTACCTTAAAGGTATGTTTTCTTAATGCATGGGTAACTCTTCTAAAAGGAAGTCAAAACATTTGGGAATGTCATGTGGTGGAGCAAACAATAAATTTACCAACTGATATATATTCCTATTTTCAGCTACCTCATATCAAGACTAATGTACATAGTCAATTTGCAAGCATCTATCCTTAACTGTCCTGAATATAATCTGTTCACAGTTGAGAAAGTACAGTCTCAGTGTTGCAACCGGAAATATATATTACTATAAATTTACAATTGTTAGTTCAAAATACATAACTTGAAACTGATTTAAGTCTGCTCCCTTTTATTTGAGGTGATATTTCAGGATAATCAGTTGCCTGCCTCTTCATTTGATTAAATACTTGAATCCTGTTATTCTCTCTTGGTTTTGAAGCATGTTCTTTTTTATTATAGGTACTACTTACAACAGAGTCTCTCTTATTGTAGCACTCCACTATATTATTGCTTATTCAGATAATTCCTGTATGTTCACCCTATTTGTTCAAGTTGCTTATGCAAACATGAATCCATTATGAACTCAGATACTGTCTCCTCTTTTGATCTTAATGAAATATGGTGCCATTATCATGGACAATAAACTAAAGATTTACATGAAACATGTGGACAATGCCAGGAATTTATAAACAACTAATAATATATTTTCAATACTATAAAATGGGGGGTGGGATAAAAAGAAAGATACATAATGCGTGCAATAACAAAATGCAAGAAGGTATACTTCACGTGATGTCTCTCTTTGGGTGAATGTCTCTTGGGTTAAAAACTGTGGGTTAGAGGTTTCAGGTGAGAAATCCTGCAACTGTGTGTTTTTACTGTGGGTCAACCAGTACAATAGCAGGCAAAATGACTAAAATGGTGCAGGTGGACAACCTGACAGGTGGGTATGAAACTGTTACTATATTCACAACATCACTATCACTGCTCTCATTTACAATTCAGCAATTTGATAGCCTTGCCTACTGATATTTAAGAACTACCATTCAGCAATGACAAAGAATCATACCTGAAACAGCCAAGAAGTCATCAATGGTAGTGATGTCATCCACAGCCTCAGTGAGGATACGGACTTGGTTCTCCCAAGCATCACGGAAGACATCCATATTCTCCTGGGCCACCTTAGAGCGTGGCCTTGCAGCAAGGATGCGCGCAGCATTTATTACTTGCGGACACAGGTTCTCAATCTGGGCAGCTGCATATCTCACCATTTTCACTCCATCCTCATTGCCCGACATGCTGCATGCCAGATTTGCAACCTGCAACACACACACACACACACACACATAATTCTCAAACATATAAATCCCCATATTTCACTGCATAATGACCAGCGTGTTTCTTGAAAAGCTGACAGTTCCTCAGCTTGTCAAAAATCTCCCTACCTTCAAAGAACACACTGGTTCAACACTGCATTCACAAAATTCTGCCTTTGGAACCAATCCCGAGCCAATCAAATCCAGTCACAACCTCCACATTCTATTTCTCTGAAATCTACTTTGATATTATCCTTCCATTTAGGCAGATATTTCTCAAGTGGCATTTTCTGTTGATATTCTCAACCAAAATTTGTATCAATTTCTAATTTCTCCCATTCATGTCACATGCCTCATGCTCCTCCTCCTCCAAAGGATCCTGCTCTATAGCTTCTCTGATGAAATCATACTGAAAGGCTTGTGAGATCAGACTTTATGCTGGAAGACTATTCATTTTCTGTTCTTTGCTATTAACTAGAAATTATCAACTGTAACAACTCTGTACACCAGGATAGCTCAGTAGGTATAGTGAGTAAGCTACAGAGTGTCTGACTGAGTTCAATTCCTGGCTAGGGCAAGAGATTTTTCTTATCTGTGGCAAACACGCTAGCTCTGGGGCACACCAAGTCTCTCATCCAACAGGTGCCATGGGGCTCTGTCCCCAGGGGTAAAGTGGCAGGGCTGTGAAGCTAACCTCTCAGCTCCGCCTAGTGTTGAGGTTAAGAATGATGGAACTATAACACCACTCCTCCATATACCGTCATGGCACAGTGCTTAATTATATAATCAAGTATATGGATAACTTTACCTTACCTTTACTTCCCTTCTGTTAATGTCCAGAACTGGAAACTTCCAACGTGCATGGGTTTAAAGTTTATTAACGTGCTTTATATTAGAGTCAGTTTACAGCTGCCACAATATTGTGCACTTAGGGAAAGTTTACGAACTGTATAATACAGAAAGGTTAACAAATATGTCAGTACTTTAAGGTACAATTAAAAAATATGGCTGCATAACTTTTCCTTCTGGAAAATAATGTACAGCTAAAGCATTAGTCCCACAAATTTCCTGCCAGTTCTGAAGTGTTAATTATATGGTTTAAAATGGATAATGAACCATAACACAGAAAGATGACGAAATACACAATCCATCCCCAACCATTCCTGTGAAGATGGACAGCAGCACTCTAAACTTGTGTGGAACTGCTGGGAAGACGTTAAAGCAATACTCACCTCCACTAGCTTGTTGGCATGTTCAGTAAACACCAGTGCATATTCCTCCACTTCCTTCTCATTACCAGCTTTAGCAGCTTCAATCAGCACCAAAAGAGGAACGTTTGTTTCAAGGAAACTGGAATGAGACAAAATATCACTCACTATAATACAGAACATTGATCATATCACTTTGGAACATGATTAGTCCAGTTAATATTAATAAACAGTCATTCTTTTTAGTTAAAACTGCTGTACTTACTAGCAAATAAGAATAAAAACTTAAGTTGATGTTTTTATATTCAATCATGTAATTATTTCTGCTGAGTAACTGGTCAATTTAATTCATAAGCAGTTTTTTGGGAGGGGACACATCATAATTCTCATTTACTTTGTCACAATAGATATCACTGATTAAAACAATCTCACCTTTGCTCCTGTTGCTCCCCTCCCTGACAACTGAAGAATGGACATGATTCAAAGCTAAAAACAGCCTTTGCCAAAATTACTATAAAAACTGTGATGGCTATTTAAGTCACTGGTGCACAGTTCAAGTACTATTCCCATGATTATCTTCACTGTTGCATATTCCAGTTAACTACTGTTGCTGCACCCTTCAATATATATTATTGTCCACATCTGTTTGTTATCAATGACTGCAAGGTAAAAGGTAAAGTTGTCCCTGTGCTTAACTAATTAAGCACTATACCATGAAGGCATATGGACGAGTGGATGTACAGATCCACATTTTCTTGACTTTGGCTCTAGCTGGAGGTGAGCGATCAACTTCACGTTCCCACTGCTTTATCCTCAGGGAAAAAGCCCTCGGTGCCCATTGGCTAAGAGGTTGGACGGACCCCAGAGCCGGTCTAGATGACATGGAGAAGTGAAAATTCTTGACCCCACTGGGACCTGAACTCTGACCCCTCTGTTGTCCAGCCAGCAGCCAGTCCCTATACCGACTGCACTATCCTGGCTCATTATGATTTTAAAGTTGAATATAATAAAAGTGTTCATACTCAAATGCCAGGCATACAAAACTCACAACTACCATCAGAACACAATATGCAAATACATATTTTCATGGCAGTATGCAAGAAATTCACATTTGTGGCTGGACATGAAACCATACAGTATGGTGGAAATAAATTTCCAGATCAATTTTTCAGTAACATGTGGTTTGGCATAACTAACTGTTAGCTCATTTGTCAAAGCATACTGCCAGGGTACAGAAAAGAGGATTCTGTTCAATTCTTAGTATATGTATGAAGCAAACTATAAGAGTATATTTAAGCAGAGACTTTTAAGTGTCTGGTAGGCTTAAATTGTATTTCTGGAGCGCTGGTTATAGCACCATCACTGAAACAGCCATAAGTACCCACTAAACATGAGACTGAGTGAGCCCATAACAGGTCTGGCCATAGTGGTGAAGAGAAATCACAAAATTACAAAAAGTATACAAATACACTGCAAAAGGCCCACTTCATTAACAAAACTGATTTTAATCTGTATGGGTCTTACCTCATTTCATTTTCTTGAATCTGTACACGTGAACCACCCTTCGATCTATGGCGAAATACAGGCCACTTTATACTCACAAATGTAAACTAGGCTTCACAGGGTTTCATAAACAAAGCAAACTTTAATTTGAACTCACCTATCAGACACATGATCAACAACAGCTTTTCTCAGCTGACGACGAAGGTCACGCGTCTTGCGGCACATGTGATCCAGAGCTCGCTCTAAGCCTTCACTCTGTTCCTTGGTTCCCATCTGCAGCACAGAACAACTGTTGAGGGTTCACGAAACAGAAGCAGACAATTTCAAGGAGGCTGATCTGTCAACAGTGTACCTTATATGGTTTATTATATAGAACTATTAATGTTTAGACTATTTAGTGTCAAATGGTAGGATGACTGATGAACTAAAAAGAATTTAGAATGGAGAAGACATGACCTAGTCAAGGTGCTTTTCTGGAATTTGCCTGCAGGAACTGAGTAAAACCATAAAAACCTTCAGAGAGGGTAGATATGTCCCAGCTGAGACCTGAAAAGGGTGCCTCTTGACTACAAATCTACAGCATTACCACTACACAAACCAGCTCTGTTCAGTGGAATGGCAAAACAGTTTCCAACTTCACTAATGTTTTCAATGTTTCACCCTATATAGCAAGCTTAATATCTGCTTCATGCTGGTTTCTTGCTTGGTTTACTCTGACCCTGAAGAAGAGGCAACATGTTCCCCCATGACGCCAGTTGTCTTTAGAAAGACTCCACAGCATTATGTCCCAGAAGATGGAACTCTTCTAACATTACTTCTCCAAAATTTCCCTCATGCAACTGAAAGTGAAACACCTCGCAACAAAGGTTCACTGTCAATTTTAAGTACTTAATAAACAGACAAAGGTTCACTATCAATTTTATGTACTTAATAAACAAACAGAAGCACCAACAGACACCCCAACATAAAATCTGAGTCTAATATTTTCATTCTGAATCTATTCTACTCACTTTCCTTTTCTAGCTATACTTATAAGTTCTTCTGGAACCAGAAGACTGTGTGGATGATCCATAAATTTCACATTAGTAATACTAACATAACAGTAGCACCAACCCACCAGTAAAACAATTACAATACAGGCATTTAAGAACAATCTATATGGCTTATATACTTGTATATTAATAAGCATAAGCAGCAGTGCTTGGTTTATATAAAAATGTGACTGTTTTTAACATGCTACATACGGCATCTACGTCTGTAGTATGCAAAAATAACATCTCGCATGGCAGTTACTAAGCGATTACAGTAGATACTCTGAGAAATATGCATGAAAAAGAACCTGGATAAAATTTTATGCTGGGTGTCTATACTAAATATATCAGGTATGGCTGATGTTTATCAATGTAACCCCCCCCTCCCTACATCCAGCAGTAATGAAATATTTTATTCCAGACCGATGTATACCTTTACACTCTTGTATAAAACCAGAACCTGCTGCTTGTGCTGTTATCTTTTCTAAATATATTTGTTAAGAGAGAAATGCAAGATGAGAATAGTAAGCAGTGCAGTTCTAGACGAATCACAGGCTGACAGTGTGCCCACCACAGCATTACACAGGTATGACAATGGCTGCCATACCACATGTCATGCATTACAGGCTATCAATCCCCGATCCGTGAAGTCACCAATGTATCTAAAAGCAAGTCAGTGTTAGCAGACAGACACATAGCACAAAACTCTATGCTTGTGATAGAAAGTTGAATAGCAACAGTTATACGTGGAATCAAATTCTGACAGTACAACAAAACAAAACTTTATCATTTATAAGGAAACCAAGATAATTTCAAGACTTTGAATATTTGCATAAAAATAAGTTTCTAATATTGTAATGTTATATCAGTTATAAATCTGCTGACAGAGCCATTCTAAACAACAGAACTTCCAACAAAATTACAGAAAGAGAGTGAGTCACTTATCACAACCTCAGTTCAGAAATTCTGTGGCTTATTAATACAAATAACTTCTGTCTCACTTGCTCTTTCTATAAGATCATGATAAGAAATTGTATTTTCTGCATCAAAATTTGAACTAATTTAATTCAATGGATCAGAATATCTATGAAAAATTACTGCAATTAAAATATTCTTTTATCACATTAATACGAAGACAGAAATAACGGGATCAGCTGGATGGCTAGGAACAGGTCAAAACAGGAACATAACATAATGTTCCCTCTAGCCACACTGAAAGACACATATTGTGTGATTATTTTGCCACCTCTCTGCCACACCTAACCCTGCAGAATAGTTCTCAATCTCTCCACCTTCAGACAGGTGGTGAAAGGAGGAGGAAAATTAAAAGAAACTGACTGACAGCATCAGGCACTAGCATTTAAAGAGACTGCTTAACGAGGTTAACTGTAATAGATGTGATAAAATATGGTATAAACTGTTACAGATTATCTGACTTCATGATGCATAAAATGAAATTCAATTTTCATGGCACATCAAATCATTTATTGTAAAGTTGTGTATGTATAGTGTGACATGTTGCGCAATGGAGGACAACCCCTCCCTACCCAGCAGTGACGTGGCAACTTTGGCCACAGTGACGTGGCGGATGAGTCAGTGCTCCGTCCCCCCCCCTCCGCGGTGATGTAACACGCAATGCAGCTGTGACACGGGTAACAGCCAACAGCGGTACCGACTGCGTAACAGGCAAGCACTGTGACTATATAAGTGAACCACACTGCCTACGAAGTTGAGTTGAAATGTGGCCCTTGCCAAGTGCAGTTAAGAGTCTAAAGCGTATCAGCCGCTGAAGACAGTTCTCAAGTCAGCAGCCAACAGTTCTCAAGGCAGCAGCCTACGAGTTGAGTTGGAATCTAACAGCAGTCGCGGAAAGAAGAACCGAACGCATGTGTAATTGTGTAATTGGGAGTGTGTAATACAGAGAGACTTGTAGAGCTCCCATACTGTGAAAACGTGTAGACTACTGACAATACAGTGATTTGATTAACGAATAGGGTTATAAATTGTGAAACCCCGCAACATTGTTATAATTAATTGTAGCCGTTACTTTTAGGTTGTTGAATAAACCAATTAACAATCCGAACGGCGTCTTCAGTAGCAAAACATGCTACACTGGTGTCGGAAGTGGGATTTGGACTTACACATGTGACCAACAAGATTCGAACAAAACACGTTACAATACACTTATGCCACATTTCACCACATAATTTGTGTATCCTCAATTTTCATCATTAAATTAATAAAAATAAATAATTTCATAATCATCAAATTATCAAAAGGATAGCAGCATGCATAAAATATAAGCTTAAAGATCGTATGGAAGGTTATACCTGGTTTAGTTAAGTGAGAATTACTGTTATTCCTATATGCCACAGAAAAGTGTGCCATAAATCTGTGACCTGAGGAAATGCTGTACCATGATGAGCAAACATGATGGTACTCACAAGAAGATTGACACCCAAAATTGAAAACTTGTCTATGTATTTGATCATTGATATTTTACTTTGTACAGAGTTTAATAAAAACGAAATTTATGGAAAGTAATGCAGTTTAATAAATAAATGAAGAGTTATGAAAGAAAAAGAAGCCATCTTTCATTACCAAGTAACCCAACTGCTTTCCAGAGATAAATTTTTCACTTTCATAGAAAGGTCATGTAAACAGTTACATTTTCCATGAAGGCCCATTTTCATAAATCCTCATATACAACAAACACCTGAGTCCTTGATCACAAAACTCTACAAAGAATGTCTGTGAATGATGTTCCTTTCAATGCAGTAAAGTGTAGTGAAACTGAACAGGCATGTCACCTTCTATCATCACAACACAGTAAAAATATTACTGAAAATTTAAATAACCAGAGAAAACTGCACTGATGGCACCATTCACTAGTATTATAAATAGATATACAAAGGGGTTAATGGTTAGAGATAAACTAAAATATGATTTTAACTGTTAGAGATTATTCAACTTCATGAAAATGTTATTTGATGATGGTATCAATGGTGAAATAAAAGACAACCATAAAAAGAAAATGACAATTATATATCTTCCAGTTCTTGGACACTAACATATACAATTTATGTCTTTCAAGTTTCCCTTCAAGAGCTTTCGCTTTTATATACTCCTCTTCCCCCATACCATCCAGCTGATTATGTAGATCACAATGAAAAATTATCAATATCCAGAGAACTTCTGAGATATTTTGGAGAGTCAGTATTAAAAGTTTTAAGTAACTTTACAAAGCAAACTGAAATTCTCAAATCCCTGTTAGAAGAAGTAATCTCAAGACCCACCACAGAGAGATGACAGCACATACTCAGAACTGAAGTAGTTAAGAGCACAATACACCTTAACAATACCAAACAAGTAGATAGGTACATCACATGTGCAAAAGGGTGTATACATGGAAAAGGCTGAGCTGTGTAATTGTAACTATCTAGCACTTGCACCAGGATTGCCAACAATCGACAAATGCACACACATACTAATAACACACTGGGGTTCATATTTACCCCACGCTTCCCTCCCCTCGCAGCTTGTAACTGGTTTAGATCAGGAGAAAAGAAACAGAGGAAAATAGAATAAAAATCAAAGTTATCATTACATTTAAAATTATAAAATATGTCCTAACCAACAAGCAATCAATTCATGCATTTTGAACTTGTAACCCAAAAAAGTAAATAAACAATAAACAGGTGTCCCACAAAATGTGTCCCAAACTTCAGTTATTTACTGAATGGGTTACTGTGGGTCCACTTTGAATTGTCATGGAGCTACCGTTTTAAAATGAGGGAATGCAAAAGAAAATTGCTAATGAGTACACAATTTTGTTATTATTTACCTATAACAGTTGCTGTTCAAAATTACTTACTGCATTGTCTGTTCATGCAACCTTCCTCATTTTACAACAGAACGTGCTGCCTTTCATATGCCTTTGGGACTGTTCCACATGGAAGCATCATCTACCACTGTTTGCCACAACAGCTCACCTCTTGGCTGCAATTTATCTTGATAAACCAGTTCCTTCATATATCACCATAAGAAAAACTCAAACAAAATAAGGTCTTGTGAAGAGTAAGACCAGCCCTGCCATCATTCTCGATCAGTTCAACAATATCCATAGCAGTAATTTACGTGTCAACCAAAATGGGACAAGAGTTGAACTCTTGTGGCAAATCATGGATGCTGCTGCTTGCATACAGGACAATCCTGAGGGCATACAAAGTGCAAAAGTTCTGC